CTATAAGCCATACACTTCCCCAGCACCCTGTTGGCATCCAGGATCCATCCCCCATGCCCGCCAGTGCCCCGTGGCACGCTTGCCCACTCTGCCTCTGGCCGGGGACCCTCGGGGCTGCCTGGCAGTGCTGGATTTAAGGCATGCTCAAGCAGCACACCCCTAAAATTTGCTTGCAAACTTGCCTTCCATCTCTGGGTGAGGTGGGAGGAGGAGAGAACCCACCACTGGAGCAAACCCCACCACGAGCCAGCCAGAGGCACGGTTTTTCTGAGGGAGTGGGAATCTCGCTGCTCCTCAAGCCATTGCCATCATCTCCATTTGTTTTTCGGCCCCAGAGACCACTAGGGATTCAGCCATCCTATGTAGATAGAATATTATAGCCTTAACTCTGCCAATAGATAGATTAGAGTCTCCTGGGGTCTCCCCTCGACATGATTTAGGGGTTTTATTCTCATTTCCCTGGCGTGGGTACTATTTCGTCTTGCAGGGAGTATGACCAAAGCCTCTGAAATTGCACAAGATGCGATGCCAAGAGCCTGAGCCCTGCCGAGACGGCCCTTGGCTGCGGGGCCGAGCGTGCAGCTGGTCTCTGGCGGGAGCAAAAAAACGATACCAGCACAGTTACCTGGCTATTTCTCCATGCTTTCGGGGAAGCCGTGGTTCTGACAACAACCAGCCTGGCAGCACGAAGGCCCACAGGCCACTCCGGGGTTTGGACTGCGGGTCCCCAATCTGCCGTGGGGGACGATCACTGTCAGGGAACAGTCCTTGTGCCATTTCATTCTCAGCAGCGAGGTTCAGCATCTCTCCTGCCACAAGGTCCCCCCCACTTCTCATCCCACCTTAGCAAACACGAGTCGCTCTGGCCGAGACTGAGCATCTGCTATTGGCAATTGCCTCATTGTAGCTTTGCCTTTTTCTGTCCTAGTATTTCCTCACAATGATGATGTTTACATGTGATTGCTATAGAGCTTATGTAGAATGTATATAGCGACACATTTAGGGTGGGTAGTACTGTCCTGTGCTGTGCTGATGTTTTTCAGAAAACGATCAATCCAAAAAAAAACAAAGAAAAAAAGCAAAGTAAGTGGAATTCTTCCATCTCCCACTCAGCCGGGGACACCGTGACCCCACGGCTGGGCCCTGCTGGGGATGCATCAAGCGTGGTGGAGGGGAAGGGATAGAGCAGAGCTGGGGGGGCTCCAGAGCCGGGGGAGCCTTTTCCTGAGGGATCAGTCACTTCCCAAGCATTGGTTTTGGTGTAACCAGGTATAAAATTTCGCATTGTTTTCCTGCGGCTGGGTGCCCCGGGTCAGCCCGCAGCCCCTGCCCGTGCCTGGCTTCTGGACATTGAGGCCAGTGCTTGGGAAGGGGAGGGCTCGTCCTGCACAGAGCCGATCAGTACTGCACCCGTTGGGTAGGAAGAGATGCAATAAGTGGTCTTTGTGATGCCTGAAGCCTATAAGTAGGGTTGGGGGGTTTTTTTGGTTGGTTTTCTTGAGGGGGAGGTGTTCTTTTTATTCTGTTAAATTGGGATGGTTTGTTTTCCCTCCTCCCCCAAGAAATTTCTCCAGGACTGGGGGCAGAGGCCAGCCCATCCCTGCCACAGGTAAAGCAGGGAGCAGGCACTGCCGGCCCCGGGGGCTTCCCCTAGCTTTTGGGACTGGGTGAGAGTGGAGGGTGTTCAGCTCAAGAAGCACAGGTCTGCTGGGTTTAGAATCCCTGATGTAGGGTTTGTGGTGAAAAATATGTTTCCACTTGATTATTTTTTTTTAATTTTTTTTT